TTCTGTTCAAGTCATATAGAAAAGTTTCCAGATTTGGGGAGCAGATAGTCCCTTTTCCAAGGTAGGCTGACAGATGATCCCATGGGTGGATTCAGGCGTAGTTACAGAGGAGAGAAACACGATTTTATAATGTTTTTTTATTTGAATGCACTAAGGGTGGCTCCTAAAAGACACTGAAGTTTAACCTTTAGAGTGAACTTTAGTCCCACCGATTGCAGCTTCCATTTGGCTAGTGTGGTATCTAAAACACTATTTTAGTGACCAAAATGGCATTTGATAAAATGAAATATCTATTCCTGAAATAAACCTTTAAAAATAGGGATAGGAGCAGATTTCCTTATCTTAAGCAAGTACATCTGTCTTAAACAAGCTGGTCCTTCCACTTAAATTCAAGGACCAAGCAAGGTTGCTCACCAGCACCGTCATTGTGATCATTTTCATCATTGTTTCTTTTGAGTGGCATGTTTTTTCCCCCAGACACTGTGTTAGGCTCTTAATTTTTAAAATGACCTTTCAAAGTAGATTATCATACTTTGACCAGGGTTGGCCTGGTCACTCTCATATAGCTGGGAAATGTTGAGTTGTGATTCAACATCAGACCCATTTGACGGCAAAGCCCATGGTCTTGTGTTACCCAGGTTTAGGCCATTATTACTAAATATTGTTCTGAAGTTCTGGCTAATGAAATAAGACATGAAAAAGAAATTAAACATTTCAGTGTTGGAAATGAGAACATAGTATCCTTATTTGGAGTCCACAGGGTTTGAGAACTTAGAAAGTTCACAAGAATTAACAAAAAATGATCAGAACAAATTAGAGAATTTGGTGGAATGGTAGGACACAGGATGATGACCCTAGAAACTCTTGAACCAGGCATGTGCATTTTTGAAAGGGCAACCCGCAAAACAGCGAGGGTGGAGAGGGCAAGCAGCTCCTTCACTGCGTGGGGGTGGGGAGGAGGAGGGGGGCAGGGAGTGGCAGGGGGAAGGAATCTCAAGCTGACTCTGAGCTGAGCCCTGAGTGCAGAGCCAGTTGTGGGGCTGGGCCTCGATCTCATGACCCTGAGATCACGACCTGAGCCAAAACGAGAGTCAGAAAGAAGCTGAACCCACTGAGCCACCCAGGCGCCCCAGTATTCTGGAATTTAAATGGAAGAAGAAGCCAGAAAGGATAGAGGTAGTTGTGGACGACAGTAAGAGCAGTGGGAGGAGGGGCTCCTGGGTGGCTCAGTCGTTAAGCGTCTGCCTTCGGCTCTGGTGATGATCTCAGCATCCTGGGATCGAGCCCCACGTCCGGCTCCCTACTCGGCGGTGGAGTCTGCTTCTCCCTCTCCCTCTCCCCCTACTTGTATTTCTTCTCTCACTGTGTCTCTTTCTGTCAAATACATAAAACCTTAAAAAAAAAAAAAAAAAAAGTACCCCCACGGAGGTGTAAAAATTAAAAAAAAAAAAAAGAGCAGTGGGAGGAGGTCCATCACTAGGCACGTTATGATGGGGCAGCCAGAGCAAACACAGACAGCTAGGTAATTGGCGGAGAAATGGATGCGCTAGAGGCAGACCCGTGTTCTGTGGTAAACACAACGTAGGATGGAGGGCACCTCACGGCACTCACGGGTAGAAGGAAGGATTCCTGAATGAACTGAGGTTGGGACAATTGACCTTTTCTTCTGCTGGGGACTGAATTGTGTCTCCCAAAATTCCAGTGTGGATGCCCTGACCCCCCAATGTGACTGAATTTGGAGGTGGAGCTTTTAGGTGGTAATTAAGGAGAAGTGAGGTCATGAGAATGGAGCCCTAGGCTTGGTGGCCTTTTGAGAGGAGGACATGCAGGGCCGTGAAGAGGAGGTGGCTGTCCGTAAACCAGGGAGGGGGTTGCTGCCGAGAACTGAACTGGCTGGCACCTTGATCCTGGACTTTCCGGTCCCCAAACCATGAGAAAACAGAAGTCTTGTTGTCTTAAGCGCCTGGTCAGCGGTGTTTTGTTACAGCGGTTGGAGCTCACCAGGGCATCTTCTTCAGACTCTACCTCTTAAAGCTTTCACTGGTATTAAAAAAAATCTCTCAACCTAGAAAGCAAGTGACAGACTGGAAAAAAAAATACTGTAAAAGATTTTCAGAGCATACGACAAAGCTCTACTCTCTTTATCACGAAAGGAGGTTGTACACACAGATGAGGAAGAAACGCTGAATCTTGGGAGGACAGAACTTTCCTGAATGCCTGGCGCTGGTGTGCAGGTGGTGGGCCACCGCCGCCTTCCTGTTACTGCTGGATGGGTGGGAGCCTCTCATCTTCACATCGTGACGGGATGCACTTGTGTGTAGGGCTCATTGGCTCTCCCCTGCGCCCCCCGCCCAGGCCGAAGCCCTCGGGCTTTATGACGGGTGCGTGTTGCCCGTGAAGATTTGGGCTGTCTCAGCACACCCACCTGCCGCATCACCTCCAGGAGGGCACCATGTCCCCACGGTAGAGACTGCTGGTGTCCACAGTCAGCTTGCTCTCCTGTCCTGCACGGGCAGGGAGGGCTCTGGGATGTGCCCAGTGGGGTCCTTGGAGGCAGGCGGGTTGTGGGCCTGCCCTCACACAGCCGGCCCTTCCGCTGGGCAGCGGAGGCTGACCCGCGTGGAGCACCCAGGGGAGCAGGTAGGATGCTGACGTGCCGCGAAGACCGGGCCTGCCCCACCCTGGCCAAGCGTGGGCAGTTGTCCAAGGAAAGGATTAGACAGCAGGTGCTCCTGAGCCCTCGTCCTGTAGCCCGGTGTCCTGGAGCTTTACTTTCTGTAACTTGTATTTCAAAAACGATCAATGTTTTTGTTTTCTCGAAATAAAACTGGATGACTCTTATTTTGTCTAAACTACACATTGTCCCCCTGCCTCCCCCCACCCTTTTATGATACGCTGGTCTAATCGAAGTTAAACAGACTTCCTGATACAAGACTTCTCGGTACATTTTTAAAGGACAGTGGAATCCCCACGGAGGGGATAAGTGTGTGGCTTTTCCTACCTTGCTTAACCGTGGGACCCTTTTTCTCGGAGAATCTTAAGGGACTGCTGTTCTTGTGGCTTGTTTTGGGAAGTGGTGACTTTTGTTTTCACCCGTGTTTGTGCTGGCAGCCACTCTGCCCTCAGTTTAGGGGCCTTAATGGACTTAATCTGTTTCAGTTTCCATTTCAAAAAACAATACAGATTTCTTATCAGCAGCTGGTGCGGTTACGGGGTCCCCCCCCCCCGCACATCCCGTGCAGTAACTGCTGAAAGGGGGGAGGTTTACTTTAGTAGAGGGATTTTCTTCCTTGTATATGTTAGGTCAAAAAAAACCCCATCAACTGTAACAGCTCTCCAATTTCTGTGAACAGAGTAGAGCGGCTAAATTAAGATGTTTGTTAGTATTAGAAAATTCTTCTTCAAAAGTTTTCAGTGGGATAGTTTGAGTTGATCTTAGAATGTGTTTACTAAACACGATGTCTTTGGATATGATGCGGGGTATTTGTGTGGTGCCTCCCTGGTTTCTGGAAGGAGGCAGAGGGCAGAGACCCGCCCCGTGTGAGCACCACCCGTACGCCTGACGAGGGCCCAGATTCCCATGTTTAGCCCGACCTGTCTTCTAGAAATATGTTTTTGTGGACCTTTGTGTGCCTGCTGAGCTGGGACAGGCGAGCGCTGTGGGAGGTCCCCTCAAGAACAAGAAGCAGAGTCAGGACGCTTGAATATTTATTTTGCTATTTAATATTCTGAGGAAAGGGTGCCTGAGTTGAGGAACCCTCCACAGACTAGGAAGGAGAAACTCTTGAACGGGGTGGTTTCTCTGAAACTGGGAATGCTTGACATTGCCTGAGCGAGCTTACAGAGGCGTCTAGCTCGTGAGAAATAGTGCCTTAGGGTAGGGGTGCACAGGAAAGGCGCCATCCTCCAGCCCCACACCTGCTTCTTCTTGGAATGAACATGGATCCCGGGGAGGCTGGCTGTGGAGAGCTGGGGCACCTCGGACGGGCCATCGCACCGCCTGTGCGAGCAGTGGGGCCATGTGGGGCCCTATAGTCAGGGCTCTGAGTCCAGAGTCAGGATGGGGACAGCCTTTGCACCTGCAGACAAGCGCCCAGGTTTGGGGCAGAGCATCGGGGACCCCAGCCTGACTCCTGTGGCTTCACTCCATCGATGGCCATGGTTGCTCAGGCTCTGGCCACGCTGCCTGGATCCGTGGAAGTCTTACCTGCCGCAGGTGACCCGGAGTCCCTTATGGAAGCTGCAGATCCGTGCTCTTTTTAACCACCATGGGGGTCCTGCCTGGGATAGGGGTCCTGCCTGGGGGGGTCCTGCCTGGGATAGGGGTCCTGCCGGGGATAGGGGGTCTGCCTGGGGGACCCTGCCTTAGATAGGGGTCCTGCCTGGGGGGGGCCTACCTGGGGGGGGTCCTGCCTTGGATAGGAGGCCAGCCTGGGATAGGGGTCCTGCCTGGGGGGCCCTGCCTAGGATAGGGGTCCTACCTGGGAGGCCCTGCCTGGGATAGGGGTCCTGCCTGGGATAGGGGGCCTGCCTGGGGGTGTCCTGCCTGGGATAGGGG